GCTGATTCGTTTATTACGAGAGGGAGATAGAGAGTACAATCACTTTCACTTTTCTCTATGAAAACCTCTAGAACTTTGAAATCTCTCACACTGAAGTTGGGAAGGGGGCAAACTGCCATGAATTCTTGTTAAAAAATGAATGTTAGGTCATTCCCACTTTTAAGGTCTTCTCTTTTCTTATAATAGATTCGTATAATCTTAAAAAAATGTTGTTGTTCTTGTTATATTCTTACCGCAGTTGGGTGCAAGTATTCTGCAGCTTACTGCAAGTTCATTAATTAATGTTTCATGAGAAAATAAGACCGTTTTATTCATAGATAGATGTAAATTTAAATTGTAATTATTTTTTTTAAAACCAAACCGAAACTATTTGAAACCGCACCGAACCAAATCAAACGGTTTGGTTTCATTTCGGTTTTGGTTTCAAAATCGCACCGCACCGAACCGTAAAAAAATTTTATTTCGGTTTCACTCAAAATCGCACTGAACCAAACCGTCCCCACCCCTAATGTAAATCCTACCTCCCCCCATATATATATATATATATATATATATATACACACACACTCACATTTATGTATAAATACATATACAATATATGTATGTATGAATTCTCCAGCATATTCGTGTACAACGGCTCATCCTCTATCAAAATTAAAGCAACATATCCATATTCTTATAATGTCGGCAATATCTTTTGCAAACTTGGTACCAATATGGTCTTTCTTGGCAACCTATCAGAATGGTAGGTCCGTTGTGAATGGCAACCATTATTTTCTGTAGCACGCAATACACGTTAATGAGTACCAAGTAGAGATTGACAAATACCCATCGATTATGGGTAACCGCGGTTATCCGTCTATTTAAATTTCACGGTTATGGTTATGGGTAACCGTTTAGATAAATAAACGGTTATGGGTATAATCGTTTACCCGCGAAATTTAAATGGGCGGTTATGGGTATTAACCGCGGTTATAAACGGGTAACCATTTACCAATTTATTTTATATATGTAAAATTAACACAAATCATATTCCTTATCGGACAAAACTTAGATCAATGCTATTGACTATAGTGCATGATTTATATAGCTAATATAATATAGTTTTCCTTAACCACTTTAAATTTCATGGTCCATTATATATATTATGTTAATACTTTACATTCCGAGTTAATAACCCAAGAATACGTAGCAAATTTTATATTACCTTTATTGTTAACAGTAAAAAATATCGTCCATAAACTATTATTTCAATTATTGGAATGGTATAAGGACTTAAAAAATTAAAATGCAGAAATATATGATGAATGTACCTATAACGGTGTTTAATTGTTAGAAAAATAAAATTATGACAAATTTTTCTTTTTTAATTTTCCAGTAGTTAAAAAAACACGTAGAGGGGTGAAAAAGGAGTAAATGGTAAAAAAGAAAGGATAACAACAACAACAACAACAAAGCCTTTTCCCACTAAGTGGGGTCGGCTATATGAATCCTAGAACGCCATTGCGCTCGGTTTTGTGTCATGTCCTCCGTTAGATCCAAGTACTCTAAGTCTTTTCTTAGACTCTCTTCCAAAGTTGTCCTAGGTCTTCCTCTACCCCTTCGGCCCTGAACCTCTGTCCCGTAGTCACATCTTCGAACCGGAACGTCAGTCGGCCTTCTTTGCACATGTTCAAAATCACCGGAGCCGATTTTCTCTCATATTTCCTACAATTTCGGCTACTCCTACTTTACCTCGGATATCCTCATTCCCAATCTTATCCTTTCTCGTGTGCCCACACATCCCACGAAGCATCCTCATCTCTGCTACACCCATTTTGTGTACGTGTTGATGCTTCACCACCCAACATTCTGTGCCATACAACATCGCTAGCCTTATTGCCGTCCTATAAAATTTTCCCTTGAGCTTCAGTGGCCTACGACGGTCACACAACACGCCGGATGCACTCTTTCCATCCAGCTCGTATTCTATGGTTGAGATCTCCATCTAATTCTCCGTTCTCTTGCAAGATAGATCCTAGGTAGCGAAAACGATCGCTTTTTGTGATCTTCGCTAGATTGCTCCGGTCATTAGTGTGGATAAGTATATAAATGGATAGAGATAGGAAAGCAAACACAAGATGTACGTGGTTCACCCAGATTGGCTACGTCCACGGAATAGAAGAGTTCTCATTAATTGTGAAGGGTTTACACAAGTACATAGGTTCAAGCTCTCATTTAGTGAGTACAAGTGAATGATTTAGTACAAATGACATTAGGAAATATTGTGGGAGAATGATCTCGTAATCACGAAACTTCTAAGTATCGGAGTGTGGTGTCGTCTTGACTTGCCTTATCTGTCTCATAGGTAGATGTGGCATCTTCTCTGGAAGTACTCTTCCTCCATCCAGGGGGGGTATCTTTAACTGGTGGAGATGCACAAGGTAATGTATCAATTTCACTTGAAGCTTACTTGTAGTTTCAGGCTTGGTCAAGCGCGATACAAACCATGTAGTAGGAGTCCCCCAAGTCGCCAAGCTAGGGGGTTTGCTGAAAGAGGTGACAGACAAGGTAAGCAATCAGAGCTCCGACTGATTGTTCACCTTCTCCCCATCTTGCAGCAGCATGAAGGATAAAGAGAAGAAAAATGAGAAGAGATGATATGAGATACTTTTGCTTTTGAAGAAGTAACTTTCCACAGGCTTATTCTTGAACTGAGCTGGAGGGTTTTCTGGTTTCCTCCAGAGTATAAGGCCGACTGAAGAATTTGAGGGTCAAAACAAGTCCATCAAATCTAGAGTACGTTCCACCCTGCTGATATGGGATACTTTTGCTTTTGACAGAGTAATGAATGTATCGGCACGTGTACTGTTACGCTTGTCTCCACATGCTTCCTTGTATCCTTCGCACTTGCCCTATCTGTTCCTCAAGCAGATGCGGAATCTTCCCTGGAAACATAAGATGTTGAAGATGAGTACTCGAGAGCAATGCCAGGTAAGTAATCAGGTAAGGGGTTCCAGGCAGTCAGTTCCTGGCTGGAAGCTTGATTCCAAGTGCTGACTGATTGCTCTCTTTCTCCTTGTCTTGCAGGTAAAAACAAGGCCAAAAGAAAAGACAGGGAAAAAAGCATGATATGGGATACTCTTGCTTTTAACCCTGATGATATGAGATATTCTTGCTCTAGTATAGCTTGTTTGCAGAGGTATTATCGGGGGGAAAGAAAGCTGAATATTTCGAAAGGCTTCGTTGGGAGTGCCCTCTCAGATATGATGAAGGGTTGAGCATTTTTGCAGGTCTGCCTGTCCGTTGGGGATGGAGGTCGACATATATAGGAGTCTCCCTAACAACAAGTAGTAATGCTATTCCTTTACCCTGCTTGGTCATAGCACGGTAGTGGAGCTGCCAGTTTCACATGTTTTAACTCTGTCAGAGCACTTTGAAAAAGTGGTCTGTGGTATCTGGCTCTCGAGATTCGGGAGAACGATGCCTCTTCGATTTTTGAGAAAGCAATCATGCTGGGGGTATGACTCTCGAGATTCGGAGAGCAGTGTCTCTTCGATTTTTGAGGAAGTAATCATGTTGGGAGTCTGGCTCTCGAGATTCGGAGGGCGGTGCCTCTTCGATTTTGGAGCAAGCAATCTTGTTGGGAGTGTTGTCTCGAATGTGAGTAAAGGTTGGGCATGTTTGCTAGTCTACCTTGCCACGAAGCACAAAGGTTGACACACAGGGACTTTCCAATTATCCAGCAATGGTACTGTTCCTTTACCCTCTCTTCGATTTTGAGAAAGTAGTCATGTTGGGAGTCTGGCTCTCGAGATTCGGAGGACGGTGCCTCTTTCGATTTTGGAGCAAGCAATCTTATTGGGAGTGTTTTCTCGAATGTGAGTAAAGGTTGGGCATGTTTGCTAGTCTACCTTGCCACGAAGCACAGAGGTTGACACACAGGGACTTTCCAATTATCCAGCAGTGGTACTGTTCCTTTTACAGTTGTGGGTAATAATATGGTAGCTAGACCTTCAAAAATTATGTGTCTAAACTTTTGTTAGTGCTGTTTCTTTGCTATTCTTTTTACCTTTTCTTTGGTCAGAGCGATGTAGTGGGAGCTGCAAGCTTCACGTGCTCAACTTTGGCAGAGAACTTTGGCAAAGTTATTTGTGGTACCCATGAGCTATTGTTGCGTGTGGGAAGTGGGTGATTGAACAGTAAGATTCATGTGCTTTCTACTTCACCAGAAGTCTTCGACAGAATGCCCATAATTTCTGCAAAGCTGAGTGTGCGTGTGACAGGTGCTGACACGGTTATGGGTATGGTTAACCGTTTATAAACGGTTATGGGTATGGGCATAACCAACCGTTTAGACAACTACCCAATGGGTAAACGGTTATACGGATATGAGAATAAACGGTTATGGATAAATAACCGCGATTACCCACCCGCCATAACCGTTGCCCATCCCTAGTATCAAGGTATGGGTGTTCATTAATATATAGGGTTTTTATCACAATGGTCTTTGAAATTGACACATCCAATCAGATGGTCCCTGAAATTGAAAATCGATCAATGTAGTCCCTGAAATTGGGTGTCGCAAACCAATGTAGTCCTTCTGTTACAACTCCGTTAAAAATTATGTTATGTATTGATATGACACATAATTGGGTTCCGCAATATAATATTATATTGCCATGTGGAATAAAAGTGTTTAAATAATAATTAAAAAACTATTTTATATAATTAAAAACAAAAAAAAAAAAAGAGAAAAAGAAGAAGAAGATGACTCTTCATCATCTTCTTCCCCTCCTACCCAGCGACCCACCATTCTCCTCCCCTTGAAACGTCATCTTGCCTGTCATTTTTATGGGTTTTGCTTCTTTTCGTTTTAGCTTTATGGGTTTGTTGTTTCTATATGTAATGTTGGGAAGAGCATTACGCGGATGGAACACAACCACCCAAAATAAATACGTAACGATAAGAGTATATAGGAAAAGGCTGCTGTATATACACAACAAGTCCACTTTGTGTAGGTGTGTGTATGTATGTACTGTGGATCATTGTCATTTAATTTGTCATCAATCTATCCCTCTTAGTATACTCGCACAACATATTTATCTTCTCTATAGTAATACACAAACTTAAAAAGAACTTTGTTTGAGTGGGAAAAGTAAATTAGAAGAGAGCAAAATATGGGATCTCAAACTCCTCTCCCTCATATTTTTCTTGTGTGTTTTCCAGCACAAGGACACATAAACCCTATGCTCAGGTTAGGCAAACGCCTAGCTTCAAAGGGCATGTTGGTAAGTTTCTCCACCACAGAAAACTATGGCAAAGAGATGAGAAAGGCCAATGATGGTATCAGTGACCAACCTACACCCGTCGGCAATGGTTTCATCAGGTTTGAGTTTTTTGACGACGGGCTAGCGGAAGATGATCCGAAATTCTCGAAGTTGGACGAATATATGCCTCTGCTTGAACTTGTGGGCATGGATCTGGTAACACAGATGATCAAACGACATGCCAATGAAGGTCGTCCAGTTTCATGCCTGGTGAACAATCCGTTCATTCCTTGGGTTTGTGATGTTGCCGCCGAGCTTGGGATCCCTCGTGCCACGCTTTGGATTCAGTCTTGTGCTGTGTTCTCGGCCTATTACCATTGCCACAACAAGATGGTGCCGTTTCCGACAGAGGCTGAGCCGATTATCGATATTCAGCTTCCTGGTATGCCTGTTCTGAAGCATGATGAGATTCCCAGCTTCTTACTCCCTTCTGATCCATTTCAGGTGAATAACATATACTTACCAAAAAAGTCATCCTGCTATAATTATTGGTCTAGTTGTATTTCTTTATAAAAAAATAAAATAAAAATAAATAATAATAATAATAATAAGAAATAGAAAGAAATTCTGTGCGAATCCATTTTTCATCCGAAAGAAAAATCATGGGTGATGTATTCAAAAAAAGCATTCTGCACTCAAGATATGTCTGTTTGCATAAATATTAGAGAAAAATGAACAAGAAAGGACGGCAAAATAATTTTTTGAAGTACTAATAACAACCATCAAAATAATAATAAGATTACAACACTTTTGGTTTCACATTTGGAGAAGGCTTCGTTTTTCACATTTGGAGAAGGCTTCGTTACTTTTTAGTAAGTAAAGGTTTAAAACCGTGGCATTAATTGGTAATTAAAACTTAACAAACATATTAGGGCCACTTAGTACTACGGTCTAGTAGTATTATTCTTCACTTGTAAGTAAGAGGTTTTAGATTCGATTATCACCAAAGACGAATTGAACCATACTATTGCTAGCCGTCTACCCCCTCCCCTTAGTGTAGATAATAGCATTTGTTAAAAAAAAAAAGCCCATATCAGGGATATAACAGTACTTTATATTGGTGTTTCTCTCTAATTATTTTACTGGAAGACATTTTATGTTTGAATACAAACCTCCACCGTTAAAATATAAATTAACCCTAATTATGACATTATTGACTAATTAATTTGTTTCAGGTTTTGGGGAGGGCAATATTAGGACAGTTCAAGAAGTTATCCAAATCACTCTATGTGTTGATGGACACATTCCAGGAGTTGGAGCCAGAAATAATTGAGCACATGTCCCAGGTGTGCATAGTGAAGCCCGTTGGCCCCTTATTCAAAAACCCTAAAGCTCCAAAAACAAGCATCGGAGGTGACTTAATGAAAGCCGATGATTGCTTTGAGTGGCTTGACTCAAAGCCCCCAACATCTGTCGTGTACATATCTTTTGGTAGCATTGTGCACTTAAAGCAAGAGCAAGTTGACGAGATTGCTCATGGCCTACTGAGTTCTGGGGTCTCGTTTTTATGGGCTATGAAGCCACCTGGCAAAGCATTCGGAACGGAAAAACATGTTTTGCCAGATGGGTTTTTGGAAAATGTTGGTGACAAGGGAAAAGTGGTGCAGTGGAGTCCACAAGAGCAAGTTCTAGCTCACCCATCGGTTGCATGTTTTCTTACTCACTGTGGCTGGAACTCTTCAGTCGAAGCACTAACTTCCGGCGTGCCACTTGTGACATTTCCTCAATGGGGCGACCAAGTCACCAATTCAAAGTTCTTGGTGGATGTGTTTGGTGTGGGGCTCAGATTGTGTCGTGGAAGAGCTGAAAATCGATTGATCACGAGAGACGAGGTTGCGAAGTGTTTGTTGGAGGCAACCGTGGGAGAGAAGGCAAATGAACTGAAGCAAAACGCTTTGAAATGGAAGAAGGCGGCAGAGGAAGCGGTGGCTGAGGGTGGCTCCTCTGACCGGAGTCTTGAAGATTTTATAGACGAGATTAGCAAGATCACGTATGTTTCCTAGAATAACTTGTTCGTTATCTTTTCGAATTGTAAGTTATGATCGTTGATTATATCGCACTGCTTATTTCAATAGGAAGCCAATTAATCAAATAAAAATATGAATTTAAGTTCAATGATGTACTTTGTTTGAGTGATATATGTATGATTATATTGAATATTATTGAATATTCTTTAAACCCTAATAGCTGTAAAGCTGTGTTAAGCTAGGGTTTAGTGAGCTGTGTTATTCCCTCTTCGGTGTAAAGCTTGTTAATAGCTGTAAAGCTTGTGTTAGAGAGTGTGGAGGTCATCATACTCTCATGCTTGCTTAGCTGCCATTGTCCCCTACTCTCCTCTCTCTCTTTCCCGATTATTCTTCTATTTATGCTTAATCTTGTAACTATATTTCATACAATGAAATATACATTAAGGTTTTCTATATGGTATCAGAGCCGTGATCCCTCGTGGACCTGCATCTGTGTTCTTCCGAAATCCTACCAAATTCAAACCAGTTAAAGCCATTATGGCAACATTATCAGAGAAAGTTTCAAAAAACGAAACTATGGATACCAACCCAATTCAACGTTTGAGCTCAGTGCTCCTAAACGAATTCAACTATCTGCCTTGGTCACGAGCTATTTCTCTCGCTCTTGGAGGACGTGGAAAGCTCCAGTTCATTCAAAAGGATGATATCATGCCCGAAACAACTTCACAAGATTATGCAGCATGGGTGTCCCAAGATCAACTTATCATGTCTTGGCTGTTGAATTCTATGGAACCAAAGATGGCTGAGATTTTCAGTTATTCAGTATCATCTCACCACCTTTGGATTTCTGTACGAGACATGTATGGAGATCTAAACAATGCTGCGCGAGTCTTGCAACTGAAGAAAGATCTTACAGAATTACAACAGGGAAATCTCTCTTTTGTTCAACATCTTGGCAACTTGAAGGCCAAATGGAATGAATTGGATCTCTACAGACCTCATACCACGGACACAACCATTCTTTTAAAGCGTGCTGAAGAAGACAAAGTGTTCCAGTTGCTTGCCAGTATCGGACCAGAATATGAGGACCTTAAAAGTCATCTCTTGATGACACCTGAACTTCCCACCTTCCAGATAGTCTGCAACGTTATTCAACGCGAAGAAATAAGGAAGAAGGTCATGAATGCAGTCGTTGTCGTTGGAGAATCAGATCTTAGGCCATCAGAAGCAAGAGCCTTCACCTCTTCCAGACCATACAAGGGAAAACGACCAGACTTAAAGTGTTCTCACTGTGTGAAAATAGGTCGTCCAGGCATTGGACACATAAAAGAAAAGTGCTGGATTCTTCATCCAGAACTTAAACCCAAGTTCAATAATGATGGAAGAGCACCAAGAAACCAAATGAAGCCTGCCTACACTCCTCAAGGAAACCTTGTTTGCGACAATGTCTCCAAAAATGTGATGAACTCTTCTTCTAGTCCCATTACTCTCATAAATGAATTTGCTAACTTCTTGCAACAGAAACAAGGAACAACAAATCATGAAAATCCTGCAGCCATGCTCGGCAAGTTTGCTGGCTTCCTCGAACAATCAAGCTCAGTGTCACAAAATGATGTGCCAGGTATTGTTGCAACTATTTCCACTGCATTGGATCTTAGTAGTAGCCGTGGTTTTTGGATAGTCGACTCAGGAGCTTCTGATCACATGACTAACGATGCATCTTTACTAAATGATTTTCAAAACTTCTCCACTCCTTCTTTTGTCTCCGTAGCTAATGGCACCAAAGTTCGTATAGTAGGCATAGGAAAACTCAAAATCTTCTCAAGTAAAAAGGAATCCCTTGTCATGCATGTCCCTTCATTTCCCAGTAGGAAGAATAACACAATTGCTAAATTGTCTTGCAATTTTTTCCACTCACTGTGTGATTTTCCAGGACCGAGTTTCGAAGGAAACGATTGGTAAAGGTTTCTTCCTCAATGGACTGTACTATGTCAACTTCTCTTCAAGTTTTCCAAAAGGTTTCTACGTAAACTCAAACACAGTAAACAAGGAGCAGCTGTGGCACATGAGATTAGCTCATCCTTCTTCCCATGTTATGTCTTTTATTTTTCCTAGTTTCTGTAAAGAGATTTCAGATTGTGAAGTTTGTCAAAAATCTAAGTCCACCAGGTTACCCTTTCCCCATTCTCTCTCTAGAGCTACCAAAGTTTTTGAAATTGTCCATTCCGACATTTGGGGACCTGCAACCTTAGAGTCTTTTGATGGCTACAGATTCTTTATATCTTTCATTGATGATTTCTCTAGAACTACCTTTGTGTATTTACTTAAATTCAAGCACGAAGCTTTCCAGTGTTTCAAAAATTTTCATAACTTAGTTCAAAATCATTTTAACTCTAATATTGGCATCTTAAGGTCTGATAATGGCTCTGAGTATACTTCCAAAATCATGACAACTTACTTAATTGAGCATGGAATCTTGCAACAAACTAGTTGTGTAGGAACACCACAACAAAATGGCATTTCAGAAAGGAAGAACCGTGATTTGCTTGAGAAAACACGATCACTAATGTTACAAGCAAATCTTCCAAAGAAATTCTGGTCTCAAGCTATACAAACCGCTGCATACATCATAAATCGACTTCCTAGCAGAATCTTGAAGTTTAAATCTCCTTGTCAAATTCTCAAAGGGAGAGATATTGACATAAGTCATCTCCGTGTGTTTGGATGTGTGTGCTATGTACATATTCAAACTATTCACCGAGATAAACTTGATCCAAGGGCTATCAAGTGTGCATTTGTAGGCTACTCAACTTCCCAAAAGGGATACAAATGCTATGATTCTAAGACCAGAAAGGTGTTTGTATCCAGGGATGTACGGTTTGATGAGACACACTTCTTCTTTCAGAAGCATGATGATGAACCTCAGGGGGAGCTCTCATATGAAGTGTTTCCCACTCCTCTCGTCCTTGATGATCCAAGGCTGTCAACACCGCACAATGAAGCAATTGAGATAGAGCCAGCCCATGAAAATATGGAAGCAAATAATGAAGAAGTCCTCCACGAAAGGAGAGACCCCCTTGAACAACCTACTCAACAACCTACTCAACCTACTCCTCCACGAAGGAATCCTTCTCGAAACAGACAACCTCCAGCCAGGCTTGATGATTTTGAAATCTACATGCCTAGATATCCTATTGGACAAATGGTTTACCATAGCAAGACCTCCCCATCTCATGCAGCATTTGTCACTAAGTTATCTCAACACTCGGAGCCTCGATCCTTCGAAGAGGCAAACCAATCTCCTTTATGGAGATGTGCTATGCTTGAGGAACTGAAGGCACTCGAAGAAACTAAAACTTGGAGCATTGTTTCTCTACCAAAAGATCAACGTGTGGTTGGGGCAAGATCGATTTACAAGACAAAATTTAACTCAGATGGAACCATCCAGCGACACAAGGCAAGGTTAGTTGCAAGGGGCTTCACGCAAACCTACGGGGTAGATTACAAAGAAACCCTTGCCCCGGTGGCAAAGATGAACACAGTTAGAGTTCTTCTTTCGGTGGCTATCAATTCACAATGGTCTCTACATCAAATGGATGTAAAAAACGCTTTTCTTCATGGAGAGTTGGAAGAAGAAGTGTACATGCGCCTACCACCTGGTCATGAACGAGAGAAGGAACAAGGAGTAGTATGCAAGCTTCACAAGGCCATCTACGGTCTCAAGTAATCTCCAAGGGCTTGGTACTCAAAACTAAGCTCTGTCCTTATGTCATCCGGTTTTAAACGAAGGAATGCAGATTCTTCAATGTTCACTAGGCTTGGCACACATGGAAGATTGGTGGTACTTGTTTATGTTGATGATCTCATTGTCACCGGAGATAATCCGGAAGAAATCAATGCTCTCAAAGCCACCTTACATTCAACATTCTCAATCAAAGATCTCGGCAGACTTAGATACTTTCTCGGAATCGAAATGGATCAATCTCCAACGGGGTTGTTTCTAAATCAACAAAAGTACGTTCTCGATCTTTTAGAAGAAGCCAATATGATGCATTGCAAACCTGCTAAAACACATCTACCAACAAATTTCAAGCATGAAACCTCAGGCATCCAGCTTGAAAATGCATCGGAGTATCAAAGGTTGGTAGGAAAACTTATCTATTTGACTATAACTAGACCTGACATTGCTTATGCTGTTAGCTTTGTCAGCCAGTTCATGCATTCTCCCACATCTCATCATCTGCAACTAGTTAAAAGGATCCTTCGATACTTAAAAAGCTCAATGTCTACCGGGATTTTCATGCAAAACAACGGACACTTCACCATTGAAGGATACACAGACTCTGATTGGGCAGGCAACGTCCTCGATCGCAAGTCCACAACTGGTTACTGCACTCTTGTAGGTGGTAACCTTGTCACGTGGAGGAGCAAAAAGCAATCCGTTGTCGCTCGGTCCAGCGCAGAAGCTGAGTACCGTGCAATGGCATCTACTGCATGCGAACTAATTTGGCTAAAGGGTTTGCTACATGATCTTGACATCATCTCTTCCAAGCCAATTCTCCTCCACTGTGACAATCAAGCAGCAATGCATATTGCTGCCAACCCCGTCTTTAATGAACGAACAAAGCATATCGAGGTTGACTGTCATTTTGTCCGCAACCAAGTCCAGTCCAAGCTGTTACAAACTGTATTTGTTCGCTCCAGTGATCAACTAGCCGATGTGTTCACCAAGCCCCTTCCTTCTTCTCAACTTGATCGTATTCTCTTCAAGCTTGGATCCAGAAAATCTCTCGATCCAGCTTGAGGGGGAGTATTGAATATTATTGAATATTCTTTAAACCCTAATAGCTGTAAAGCTGTGTTAAGCTAGGGTTTAGTGAGCTGTGTTATTCCCTCTTCGGTGTAAAGCTTGTTAATAGCTGTAAAGCTTGTGTTAGAGAGTGTGGAGGTCATCATACTCTCATGCTTGCTTAGCTGACTTGCTTAGCTGCCATTGTCCCCTACTCTGCTCTCTCTCTTTCCCGATTATTCTTCTATTTATGCTTAATCTTGTAACTGTTTTCATACAATGAAATATACATTAAGGTTTTCTATAGATTAAGCTGTGACATTCATGTGTGTTTCCCTCTCCCTTTATCTTTCTAACTT